GCACATACCCAGCTGATTTTTTGTTTCTGTCCGTCACCGTCTTTGCATGGTTAATCAGAAGTATTCTGAGGAACCGTTGCCAAAACAACAACCTACGAAGCTCGAACACCAGCGCAAAGCAGCTCGAAGGGACTCTCCGAGTGGGGTGAAGTGGGGTGAGGCGGTTGCGCCCCTGGCGGCAAGCAAGTGAACTACATACGGAGAGAAAACGCCATTGACACTCGGGCGATTGCAGAGGCCGCAAGAAGAGAAAGAGAGCGCGCACTTCCAGTCCGGCCGTGACCAGGAGGTTCGCTTGGGATCCCGTGTCAACTTTCAGCACCACTTCTTCGGCGGCAATGTTCGCCTTCACAGTCCAGTCTCGCTGGCTAATGAGGCTGTCAACTTGTACGCCGAGAATTTCGAAGTCGTCTTCTTCGTCGTTCAATTTACCGACTTCTGCCGTTTTTTTTACAGCAGGGTGCGAAGTGGTTTTTCGCTTGACATGCCCTGCAGATCTTCTCGTAGGCGGGACGGCTACGTGGCTTGTGCTCCCGGCCGCACCTGGAACACTCGAATTTCTTTTGTAGTCCTTTCGTTGTCGTCCTTATCTTCACAGGATCTACCCGTTCCTTTTTCCTCCCCCAGGCTTCATTTTGAAGCCCTGCTACTTCGGAGGCTTTGCTCACTTGTTCGGCCTTCGCCAACGTAAGCTGGTTGTCTCGCAGGAGTTGATTCAGATAACAACTTGGTCGCGAATCACCGACTCTGTCAGTCCTCCGAAGTTGCATAAACGCGTTTTTTCACGTCTCCAAGGAACTGCTCGAAGGTCTCTCCTTTTGCCTGGATCCTTTTCCGGAACATGTACCACTCGTAAATTTCGTTCTTTTGAGCGTCCCAGTAACTGTCGAACTTGTTTACGACGGTCTCGTAGTTGTTAGCGCTTTCCCCTTCGGCGAACGCGAAATTATTGAAGACCTCGATGGCGTCTTTTCTCGCAAAGCATAACAATAGCGCAGTCTTTGTATCGTCGCTTAAAGACTTGCCGTGCGGCCCCGTTACGGTGAAGCATAGCTCTAGCTTTTGCGTGAACAATTTCCAGTTCTGGCCTACGTCACCTGTCGTACGAAGTGGGCCTTGGGGTTTGAGGTCCATTTTCTTCACGCTGTTTCTTCCTAAGCGCTCATTTGTGGCGACGTGCCGTGGGGTGCTCCGGCCACTTCAGACACCATGTCTCGTTCTTTTTTTATTCTCACGACATCATTATCAGGTCGATGTTATGTCCCGCTGTGTCCAGTGTGTGTCTTTCAATCCAAAGACTCCGAACGATGTCCCGGGCGTTCGTGTTGGTAGCGCGAGCACTTCTTCCCTTCATCGGGTGGCTATCTTATTTAGCGTAATACGATACATAACGAAAATGTTGCGGCGTTATACTAAGCCATACTCGTATGCGTCCCCGAAGCACATATACCCCAAAAATCGCGCTCGGTGCCAACGGCGGATAGTGAAGCTCGTAGGTGCTACGCACCATATGCATGACACAAAACGACGGGCTACCCGTTTCTCTTCAGTAAGCCGTAAATGAACCAAAACTGATTTTTATTCGCGAGTGACAACCGTGCGACAACCGAACCTCCAAATCTTCCAAATATTCGTCCCGGAAAGTTCGGAAACTTACAAATTAGCCCAAATCCGAATCTCCGGTGATCCGCGCTATCACCCGTCGCAACTGGACTGGCAGCCACGCTACGACTAAGCGTAGACTACGCCGGTGCGCCGCAACGCGACTAAAAGGGTAAAAATGCCGGAAACTTTCTGCAAGGACCCCTGTGACTAGACGCAAGTTTGGCGGAATAATATCAACACGACATATCCAACGAGTCAAGAGATCCATAGCGGGCCACATACAAGGTGGCTCTTATGGCCCCTTCTTGCAAAGAGCGAGCGCTTGCCGAGCGGATTCCTGTAGCGAGATGCGAGGAATTTCTCCATGTGACTTTGGTTGATCTGGAGCCGGTGGAGGCGCCTGCGAACGGGACAACATACGACCCGCCCGCTGTCTCAACAAACAATCTTTTCGGCCGGAGTCCGGCCTTCGTCTTCCTGACTCCGGCCAGACTCCGGCCGAAACGTCGAAGAATAAATTCGTCCGTTGTTGCTGTTTTCATTAAGGGCTTTTTCTTCTCAGTTATATACCCCCGCCTTCGGCCACCCGCCACCATGCCCGTTGTATATATATATATATATATATATATATATATATATATATATATATATATATATATATAACATCTGGTTGCACGTCTGCTCACTGCAGCACGTTTCGTTGGCGCAATCCAAGACCGAAATTGCGGTCTTGGATTGCGCATGGCGATGAGGCACACGCACAACGTGGGGCATGCAACTCTAACGCAAACGCACAGCGCTTGCGTTTGCTTCTATGCGCAAAACTACAACTCTCCGGTAAGGTACAATCCCATACCGGCTGCAGCACTACGTTGGGACAGTGAAGAGTGTTGTTTACATTCGGAAATGACAATTCAATAGCCATGATCGCGAGCAGTTCCGCCGTGTCCGCTGAGCAGGAGGATCGGGGGATCCTCACTAGGGCGCTTCCCGTTTCCGCCGCGGGAAGGCGAGAGTCGAGCTGGAGACGCGAATAGGCAAATTAAGACTACAAAAACAAGCAAAAAATAACCTCCTTCATGACGTCCTTGGTTGCTTGAGTGGCCGGGAACTAGCTAGAGAAGGGGTCGTGAGCTCAGCGAGCGCTCACGGCTGCCGCACTCCGTGTCGACGGCTCGAGAGGGCGCTACTACAGCATGTTCTGGATAGGCTGAATGAAGCGGGCAGCCAGGGCGGCTCGCATTGCATTAGCTCCGCGATTAAACACTAATTCGGCATGACACTTTATTAGCCACGAACAACAGCAAACAAGGGGTAAAGATCAGTTCAGAACGGGAGCCATTTCGCGCTTCCATGCCGCCAAACGGCGAAACCGCACGACAAACCTGCTCGTGAAGGCCTTCGGAACACTCGGAACCGGTCGGATCCTCGACCGCAGCGTCGCCGCGTACATCCGGGATCTTTCTACGGTCGCCGGTCGTCGGCGCCTGATCCCACTACACCTTTCTAGTATGTGCCGCCTTTTTCACCGCTTGGTGACGGGTATGTCGACGGGTCATTTCTTGTTTCCGTACTTTATAAACTGCATTTGTTTCTTTTCTGATCTAAAATACTAAAAAATAAAAATACTTTTTATAAATAAATGAAACGGTTCGCGCCACTTATATTTTGTTTCGACTAAAAAAAAGCTTTTAGCGGCTCTGACCAGTAGTAAGCCCAGGACCAAAGACGTCACATATCGCGCGCTTTCGGTACCGCGGGTCGCCCCCGTAGGTGGAGGTGGTTTCCGCGTCGTCCGGTTAAAATATGACGCGCTGATATTTAGTTACTCTCTCCGTGCCCGCTGGCTTGCCCGAACCCCAAGAAACGTTAAAACAGCAAAAAAAAAAAAAAAAAAAGTAGACGCTTAAATATGATTGCAGGGATTTTATCAGCTTTATTGGTACACCATCTGCACCGATAGATATACCCGTTGGAACTCAGCAGTCTGCTATTTTCCATTCTTTTTGTCCAATAGCTGATAGCGTGCGAGCAACTCCGAGCGGACGCTCCACGGAACGGTGCCCACGGCGTTGTGTAAAACTGATAACAGGTTTTGATCTATCGACGTTGCTCAGCACAGTCTCCGGGCGTCGTCATGTTTAGAATAACAACGCGAAAAGCCAGGTATTGATCGAAGTCTCGCCACTATAGTCAGTTACAGGTTAAGAAGGTAGCGGCAAATGCCCCTCAAAGGGAATCAGATATCCCTCCGCCACCTCCGCATCCAATAGCGTCCCACCGTTTCCGTGACGTCGCGGCCAACGCGTGGGGAGGGTCTTGCCTTTCTTTACATATTTGCTTTATCTTTCGACTTTGACTTAGCATTGTGTAAGCCACGAGAGGGAGATTAGAGTTTTACCCCACCGACGGAAACAAATACGACTTTCGGGGATTAGCTTCCCCCCTCCGATGGATACAAAGGCTGCTTTCAGGGGCTCGGTTCCCCGCTTTCTGGAAAAGTGGGATCGGAGACAAGTGGGAATCCATTGAAGCGGAACAAGGAGCGTTTCCAGTGAACTCTTCTTTCGACTGCGGAGAGATTTGAAACGGGCGCATTACGCTTGTGGGAGGAGCTTCTCCTACCTTCTTGACCTGTAACCGACTATAGCACTTTCGGAGTCTCTATTGTTATATTTCCAGGTGGGAGGTGTAGCCCGCTCACAATAGATCCTTTCCGAAAGTCAGTCTACTCACATTGTGCAGAGCCGAACCCGACGCTGTAACGGTAGCGCTACACAGCTCCTCCACAGCAGAAAAAGCGAATGTCTTCGAAAGCATAGAGCAGAAAGGGGGAAATAAGCTGTTTCTTTTACGTCACCTTAGATTCACGAAATTGAGGGTCCTTGATTCAGCCGAGCATGATCTCCCGTCACCGCATTTAGAGCGGAAATATCTTGGGCCCGTTGGGACTGCTACAAGGTGACTGACTTTTGAACAGAGTCTATTGCCGTGAAAATAAATTTGTTGAATCTTGTCATCAATTGTTATATCTATCTAAATCGCAGCATTTGTACTTCTGAAAATGCCTTCACCATCTACGTAAAAAAAAGAAACCGCGTCAATCTCTTATTACGGCGTTATTACGTGTTTTCGATGCCTTTGAGAGAATAAAAAGTCATGTTTTAAGGTTGTCAGTGGCCCTTAATACTGAGAACTTATGTCTACGATTAGCTTTACTTTTTGTTTTGTAAGTAGAAAAAGCGCTTTCGAGTGTTTCCCCTTGCAGCTCTGACCATTTGTGACGTTGGCAATCACCGTGGCGCACCAGCGAACGCTTCACCGCCGGTGTCTGCCACAGTCCACCTTTTTGCAACATTGATAGCAACGTTTGCTTCACGCTTTTTTCTTTGCAGCTGGGAAACGAACAGTAAGCTGTGCCCAGTTAAAAAGAGAGGGAAATCATGAGAGCGGTTATTACTCGATCGCTCCTCACAACCAATTCCTGGTGTGGTGTGACATGGATACCGACGGCGGCGGATGGACAGTAAGTGTCGCCACTTATTGTAGGTATCCAGATTCACAGCGAAGACAAAGCGCGATTTTGTTCTTCATTTTGAGAGAGAGAGAGAGAAAAAAAAAAGGTTTACCAATTTCGACGAAAAAGTGCAACAATTACGACATTACAAGAAGATGTAACGCGTTATGTTTATTTCGTTTATCTAAGTAAAATTACAGAAAAACTCTAGTACGCCAACTCGACCGTGCCGTCGCAAAGTATAGAATACTGAGTACTTCCCAACCCGAAGCCGCAATGGCGAGTATGGAAACCGCATCACTAGGTAATCCGCACATTTGCAGCGAAAGAGTCAGTTCATTTAATTATCTGTAAATCTTGTCGTCCGTTCATTTGACGTCCGAGACAATGTAATAACCGATATTAGATATGGTTGGCCATGTAGTAAAACGAATAGATTTCTTCTCTGACAGGTTGGGTGTCTGCATTCCTTTTGCTAAATGCTCCTTCTATAGCAGGGATGGCCAAGCTGCGGCTCCGAAGCCGCATGAAGGTCTTTGCGTGTTCAAGTGCCTTTGTTTTCGTCTCACGCCGCTCCTGCACTTGGCCTTTCTTCTTTCGAGCGCGGACAGCTACCGGCGCGATACGACAAGAACATTATCACACGTAGCTCGTACACGAGGTCTTATTGAATTCTAATTGACTCTAGGGGTTAGTCATCGATCTTCAAGCTTTGGCTGGCATGCCGTGAAACCGCGTCTGGCTCATTAATCCTACGAAGTGTTTCGGAGTAGCGGGTACAGACTCGACCAATCGAGCTCACGGACGTGCACAGAAATGCAAAAGCACAGGGAGACTAAAGTGAACTTCGAGAACAGTACACGACACACAGCAGACTATAATCGCAGAAATTTGCGTCGCACACACGGTCCGTCCAGACATCCCGCTTCACGAAGAGGGCGCCCGCCGCGGCCTCGCCCGTGCGTGGGCTAGAGCGCATTGTGCTATAGCGGCGATTGTGCCACACGTGCCGGCTGGTTTGGCCGCTTCCGCCGCTGTTTACCCCACGTTTCTGCACATTTGAAACATACTTTTCTCTATTTTTTTATTCTTCTCGATCAATAAGAACACTTTCTGGAGACAATAACGTAGGTTTCCGGAGTGTTACACGTTAACTGGCCTCCATAAAAAGTCTTACAGCTCTTGCCAACACTGCCAATGACAATATGTTTACGAATAACGCCACCGGCTGCGCGTTTTAAAGCATTTTGGAGCCAGCGGAGTTTGATTTGTTTTGGCTTGATTGAATAATATATGATGCCCTAATATTTAGTGGCAACTGCTTGTTCCCCAAGTAGCCGGAAGCACTTAATATGTGATAGCATGAATAAGGCAGGCACTCACGTGTATAATTAAAGACCCCAAATAAGGAAAGGAAAAAGCAAAAGTTCATTTTAGAAAGGCGGAGAGAAGAGCATCTTAACTTAAAGTGTGTTGCAAAACACACAGGTCAGTAAAAGGTTCTGCAAGCGCAACAAATTTCACAATGCAGCGGGTATTGCAATCCGAGACTTATAGTCGGCACAAGACCATGAAACTCCGGCTGTGTATATATCCCAAATTCTCTGAGGTCTAGGACGCATCGAAGGGTTTCAGGAAGGGAGCCAGAACACTCCAAAAACATCAGCAAGCACGCAATTATTAAAAAAAAAATATGCAAAGGCGCTCGAAATATTGCAATTAAGACACAACTACAACCGGAGCGCTGGCTAAATTATGAACAATGAGTCGCCTCGACCAGTGGTGTCCATCGTCCCGTGATATGTAGCTCGGAAATACACGTATGCGTCAAAGTGGGCGCCCCAGAACCCAAGACCGCCCTTGCCAGACGGCTTCAACGTGTCTGCGTGCTTCCCCGAACCGGGCGGAAGAGAAGCAGGTACTTTGGGGCGTAAATCTCTGTATTACGTTATGATAAGCATAAAGAAGCCTGAAGGAAGCTCCAATTCACGCTTACTCTTTAATCCAACTCCAGATAATCCAACGCCGGTCCGAGAACGAGAAGGGTGACGCCAGATTCGAGAGATCCCGGGAAGAATATGAAAGAGGATTTTACGGAGACGTGTCTTCGTACTGGATAGGTAAGTTATATCAATCTCTGTGTATTTGCTTCTTCGAAAATGGCACCAGCCAATGATAACGAAACATGCCTAGAATCCTGTGAAACCCCTGTGAACGGAGAATATGTACACACGTGTCAAAGTGTCACTTGCCATCGTGACGTCACGTCACATGGTACCGTAACACGATGTGGTAAACCTTCCCGCTGGATATAGTGCGGAACGTGTAACGTCCGTCACGTTGTATCCGTCAGTTACGTTAAATATTTCTCTACAATGACCCCCAAACGAAAGAAGCAAAAAAAAAAAAAAGGTCTGTACGGAAAGGTATTATTCCTTAAAAAAAAAAACTAATAAAGAAAACAGATTTTTGCATTGATCAGAAAATAGGAGAAGTAGAATCGTATTTGACAAGCATTTGCATCTTGATCAATAGCACAAACAATTATAGAACTATAATTATCCAACTTTTATATTCTCCCACTGCTACGGGAGCGTGTTATTATATGAAGTCTCGTGAATTTAAGAGACATGTGAATCACTATCCTTTTAGTCAAATATCTTTTTTTTTCTTCCAAATTTACTGTCTTTAGATCGGTTTGATCTAGGCTTCCAGTTAACGCCAGGTCAGTAATGTCAGTGAGACTTTGCCAACGATTCTGGGCTTTTAGATTCAAAACGGGATGCCAATTCCTGCAGCTTTATTCACTTCACGGACCCCAGGCCAGTGAAGTTAGCGGGTGTTTACCAATGGTTGCGTTCTTTAAGGTTTCAAATGTGATATTGATTCCTGCAGCTTACGTTAGGAGTGAGCTTAGGCCTTACCTCAGACACAAAATAATCAATGACAAGAGCATTTACGAACTAGTTTTATATTGGTGTTGGTGTTTTTTCCCTAAACATATTTTTTTACTTCCCACCAAAGGAAACGACAATCTTCATGCCCTTACGAGCCATCCAGATAAAGCACAAGTGCTCAGGATTGAACTGACGAAAGAGAATGAACAAACTATTATTGTAAGATACGGCAAATTTACAGTCGGTTCCAAATACGACGGCTACGTGCTGACCTGCGGAGATTACTCGAGCCCTAACGGTAAATATTGGCACTTTCATCGTGCCTCTCGCATCGCCTACAGAGCTGCGTTAGTCGCTTTGTGCTGGAACTTGTGAAGGACATTGTGTATGAGGCTACGTACAAAATTTAGAACTTAAAACCTTACCTCAAAGGCTCAGTTAGGATTGATGTTGCGAACTCTAGTAATAGTATTGAAAACATTGTCTGTCACAGTGCTGGATTACGGAAAGGAGTTAAGCAGGGTGCGGCCGAGAACCCAATCTCCGAATGTAGAGGAGGGGGAACCATTATTTTGATGTGTTTAAATGTAACCAAAGATAATTAAACGAGAAGCCAGGACTTTGTTATAATGCAATTTCGTTTTGTTCAAGATCTACTGTAAGGGATTCAAATGTAGGGACTTGCCACCTCGCTGCATTTGCTGATGGGTTGCCGTGGAGACTTTTCTTCTGGTTTTTTATTGATCACTGGTAACTAACTGGCGACAAGAAAAGTCGCTTGTTATCACCTTATCTGAGCAGGAGCTTACTGCGCTGAAAGAAAAGCTCATGACGATCTTCGAATGACATGACCAGATACGCGTTTTCCGGCCAGTTGCGACCTCAAATCTCTACTTTGTTTATAGAAAAAAAAAAGGTGTTAAAATGAAGTTTGTTCGTCCCCTTCTGTGTTCCTGAGTCTCGGGTTTTATTACCATGAATCTATACCGGCTCGCTTGTTTTTTTAAGTATTATTGCTGTTAAAATGATAGGAACTGCAGGAGTTAATGTACCGCTATGACCGTTACTAGTACTTTACTAGCTATTCCACCTCAAACTCGAAACAGCAGTATACGCAGTTGTTACTAATACTAGCCAAGAAAGTCAGAATAGTAATTATTTTTTTTTTCATTGAAATTTTTTTAATAGAAGATTAAGGTGATTCAAATCACGATCTATACCGTGATTAAAATGTGACCTGCTTGTTATGACGATTTAAATCTAACCTTACCCGCCAAAGTAATCCCTATGTATTCTTAATTGGCCGTTTTTTTTAATTGATGCTTTCTATGTGCATTTGATTTGTTTTTAAAGTTAAAAATCCCAGAAGAATTCATATCAGGCTGAACACACGAGCAAAAAGGAGTGTTCTTTTGAACAAATGAGAGCGTTGAGCTTTTTTTCTACTTTATAATCCATCGTTAGTTCGGTAACGTCATTTTGCAATGCAATAAAAACGGAAAGTAAAAAGCAACTATAGATTATTTATTTAAGTAAAATCAATGTGTCATCTTAAAAAATACATCTAAGTGTTAATATATATATATATATATATATATATATATATATATATATATATAATACAGTTGCCTCGCGCATGACCGAGAAGGAACGCTTCTCCGTACATCTAGACGATTCGTGTGTACCCTTACCCCGCGTGTAAAAGATAAGAAGGCCATTTCGACCTTGCCTAGTTAATCTCGCCATAGCTCACTCTCGAACATTGTAGGTCGAATCTTTGAGGAACCGAGTGTAATATATGAGGAGTGAGTGAGTAAAGTCAAAAGTAAAATTGGACGTTTTAGTAATTTATACAGCGTAGGCTTGGTCTGCCAGTAGGGGCGACACTGGTTTACACTGTAGTTGAGCAATTTTGCCAGTACAGTACGACTGCTAACCTGGGGTCTTTAACGCGCTCACGCAGTTGTGATACACGACCGCACGCCGGTACGATGCTCATCCAGATCAAAAAGGGCAGGGCTCGAGCCCAGGATCCCTGGGTTCTGCAGCGCGAGCTTTCGCTCCACGCGCGTCGAGCTGGGTGTGCGCTTCAGCCCACTCGGCCACCGATCCCAATAAGTGAGTGAGTAGCCGTGCCTAGAGTGATTCGAAGTCGGTTGCGTTTTTGAGCCTCGCTTTTCTGGATCAACATTTTAATAATATAAGACGGTCTGAAACATTCGAACTTCATTCGTACGTTGCCTACTCCTGTCCACGATGATGTCTGCCGCACTGGGGCTTGCCCTGGTGCCCGTGAATCGACCATGGCCATGTCTACTAGGCCAACGCCACCTTCGCCACATTCCAGTCATCGCGCCTCCACTGATCAGTACAGTCTGCCTTCGTCCGTCTGTGGCAGCTCAATCGCTGAATCAGAAGACAGGGACACACCCATGAATAGTGCAGAGGACATCACTCCAGGTCAGCAATGCGCTACAACCTCTTCGCGGCGAGTCATTGTGCCATCCAGTGACATAGAACTCTCCGATTTTAACGACTTGGATTGGACTGATGTCGCCAGGAAAAAACGAAAAAAGAACAGCCCTAATTCCAGCCCAAGCGCTGAAACAGTCCGCAGTACTGCAGTAGTACCTGAAGGACTTACTGTTATATTTACGCCAGTCGAACAGGACCAAGTTATTACGTCGCTGAGCAGCCTGAGACTCTCCAATACTCTGGCGAAGACGTTCCCGGATTGCATCCTAGAGATCAGGTACAACAGCCGCCTCAATCTCGTTGCCGTGGACGTGAGAAACGGACAAACAACGCGAGGATTGCTACGCTGCACAGAGCTCTGCGGAATCGAAGTCAGAGCATACGAGCCTCTCCCCAGACACTGCGCCACAGGTGTAATTAAAGATGTGGACACTACGCTGACTGACGAGGAGATCACTAACAACTTAAGATCTCCTGAAAACAGAGTTGCACGTTTGCGACGGCTAGGTAAAAATTCGGCAATTAAGATCTCTTTCTGCGGATCTTCGCTGCCAAGCTTCGTCTACATTGGTCTTGTTCGGCATCCAGTTACTTCATTCCAAGAGAAACCTGTCCAGTGCTGCAAGTGCTGCCGCTATGGACACCGTGAGGCCTCCTGCAAGCACAGTCCTGTGTGCAAGCGCTGCGGTAACACGCACGAGGACAGAGACTCCTGCACTGCTCAAGAGAAGTGCGTAAACTGCGGAGCCGCTCACTCGGCTGCATCAACATCCTGTTCTAAATGGCAGCAAGAAAAAAAGACGAGGAATCATGCCAAGGAACACGCAGTCGATTATTATAGTGCCAAAGCTGCAGTTCAAGCATCCGACTGGCCCGAGTTGCCCAGAAAAAGTGAAGGGTCTTCTTCAACAACGCAAGACACCTTGACTAGCAAAACTGAAAACCAGCGGCTTGAGAGACCGACCTATGCTACACTAATCAAGCTTCCCAGAAAGGACGAACCAAGGGCACCCCTGACCAAAGAAGGGCCCAGTTCAAACGGAGTAAATTCACTCGAGGATCCGAAAACTACAGGGAGCGCGCCCACCGATCCAAGACAGCGCAGAACAACAAAACAGAGGACTCTGTCCGTTTCAACAGACACTGCTCCAAGCAAGGGGTGGGTCTTGAACCTTCAAGCAGCAGCAAACTTCGCCTGTAGGTTCTTGGAATCTGTTGATGCACGGGCCCGTAGCATTCTTACACTTCTTCAACTGGCCCTTCTAATTATTCGATCCTTGTAAATGGCGACCTGTAGTCCCCCTGCATCCACCACACCACGGTCCTCTTCAGACCTCACGGTATGGCAGTGGAATTGCCGAGGTTTCCGAAACAAACGTTGCAGTCTCATCCAGTGTATCCAATCGCACACTCCCCCACCCGACATCATCTTTCTACAAGAGCCTCGTACTCTTCCTAATCTTCCTGGATATGTCACGTGGCGCATAATGATCCTGATCAAGACCACCTTGTGGCAACCCTAGTCAAGCGCGTTCATACCGCTGTCGACTTAACCTTCGACAGCCAGGCCGTTCCACATGTATTACTTGAACTCCTTCCTGCAAATCCACGCAAGCGTAACACCCAATCCCTCCGTCTACTCAATACCTACAGCCTCCCTCAAGATCGTCATGCACGGTTTGACAAGTTGTTTGAAGCCGCACGCTGCAAGGGTTGCGCCACATTCATTGGAGGCGATTTTAACACTCCACATCCAACTTGGGGTTACCCTCGCGACACACCTAAGCTCCACACTCTGATTCAACAACAGAATCTCACTTTACTTACTGATTCATCGACACCCACACGTCTTGGAACCAGCGTTGCGCGAGACATGGGCCCAGACCTTACCATGTACCATGGCACTAAACCCTGCACCTGGCAGAACCTTGAGGAACAGCTCGGCAGTGACCATTCGATTCTTGAAACCCGTATCCAGACTAAAGACTTCACGGGGGAAGCACGTCACATCCGTATCACAGACTGGCCTGCCTTTCGCGCATGGTCCTCCTCTTATACCTCCTCCGACACACTCACCGATTGGTGCAGGCACTGCAAACCCGGCTTAACCGACACACGCGCACCCTTACTACCACTCCAGATGCACCGGATATAGACTCCCACCTGCTCCATTTGTGGGAAGCACGTCGTAGCCTAACCAAACGGTGGCGATGTCAACGCCGCAACAAGAAGCTAAAATTACGTATTGCCCAACTTACTGTTGATGCTGCAGACTATGCTGCCAGCCTTACTGATGAAAACTGGCACGCGCTATGTGACAATCTCAATGGCACGCTCGGTACCGCACGAACGTGGTCCCTACTCCGTCACCTCATACAGCCCGGTCAAGTGCACTGACCGACATACGCCGCAACACATCCCCTGGTCCTGACCAGGTCCGCTATACTCTCTTCTTTACAACCTCTCGGACTCGGACACCACGCAGCTTACTACCTACTTGAACGAGGTGTGGGATTCGGGTACCCTTCCCAAGGAGTGGAAGGAAGCAACAGTGGTTCTGATTCCCAAGCCTGGCAAACCCCTCTCCTTGGAGAATTTGCGCCCGATTTCTCTTACCTCGTGTCTGGGCAAACTGCTTAAGAAGGTTGTACAGCTTCCCCTCCACAAATTCCTTGCGGACACATCCGCTCTTCCTGACACCCTTTATGGCTACCGTAGTGGCATTTCTACCCAGGACGTACTGCTCCGTCTCCAACATGATGTTTTATACTCGCCGAGCACTGCCCAATATCGCGCCGTCCTTGCCGCAGATTTTAAGGGGGC